CACACACACACACACACACACACACACACACACACACACACACACACCACGTTGGTCCTGCCAAAAGGCTCATTTCTTGAGTTCTGCTGAGTGGAGAAAGTCAGACATCTCCACGCGGCACGCACCCTGCGAGTATAGGTGTACGTGTCACAATTCACTGGTAATTTTCCCCCTGAAAATGAGGACTCTTTAATTGGACAGTTATACAGCCAAAAGAAATTTCCCCAACTCTCCCCGGGAAATGGGAGAGCAGGTTGGGAATCCGTTTCCCTACCACCCCGAGTATGGCGGTGGCCCTTGGCTCTGCCTCGTGTTTCGCCGTCCTTCCCAGAGCCCAGACCTCGGACCCCGGCCGGCCCGGCCCCGCGTTTGCCGGCTGCCCTCCATCAGAGACCTCGCACATTGCCAAGCTGGTATTACCATCTCAATGTCCGCATTTCTCCGCCTTCCACACCTCTTGCGTGCTTGGGTGGTAAAGTCAAGGATCTGCTTTCTGAACTTTAAATCCAGGAGGGGGAATCAAATTCTTGGTTAGAGGCTCTCTTGGCAGTTTCAGAGCCCTGTGGTTGGTGTGGCTGAAACTTGAGGTGAGCCGCAGTCTGAGCGGGTGTGGCGGGTGTGGAGCTTTTCCTACCGCAGCAGCATCCTGCTGGGGCCTCACCAAATTCTCCTTTGGAGGAAGTATCTTCCTCCCTCCATTCTCGATGAATGGCATCCGAAAACAACCGAAATCAAATTTACCTAGTTTCAGGTTCTCTTTTGCAACCATGGCAATCAGAGGACGCAAACTTCACACTTCCTGCTCTACCACCACTGCTATACTTGATGAGGGCAGCAGGAATGCAGCTGCTGCGAATAACTCTCAGCATTCACCAGCCTTCCACCTATAACAAGTGCAAGACAGGTGGCTTCTAAGTAAAAACTGGGGAAGGACAGGGAGATAGATGAGTAGGAGCGGGGAAGTTCTGCCCAGCAGGTCACCTGGGCCTGTTCTAACAACTGGGATGTGGGGCAATCATTTATTCAACCAATATCGATTGAGTGCTTTTTGCATGCTAGACATTCTTCTAGGGGTTGGGGACACAGCAGAGAACAAAAACATAAAAATCCTAGCCATCATGGACCTTACCTTCCAGGTGGGAGAGACAGATGATAAAGAAAATATGTGCCTGCAATATGATTAGAAATGCTATGGAGTGGCACAAGGAGATCAGCTCCATGCTTTGTGACCACCTAGAGGGGTGGGATAGGGAGGGTGGGAGGGAGACGCAAAAGGGAGGGGATGTGGGGATATATGTATTCGTACAGCTGACTCAGTTTGTTATACAGCAGAAACTAAAACAACGTTGTAAAGCACTTATACTCCAGTAAAAATGTTAATAAAAAAAAAAAAAGGTAATGCTATGGAGAAATATTAGGCAGGGGTGGGAGATAAGGAGTTTGAGGGGTGTTCTTTTAAGTAGGTGATCAAAGAAAACCTCTGGAGGTATTTAAGCAAAGGTCTGAAGGAGGTTGGGAAACAAGATATCTGGGCAGACAACTTTTGAAGCAGAAAGCACAGCAAGTACAAAAGCCCTGAGACAGGAATATGCCTGAGTGCTCTGGGAGCAACCAAGAAGCCAGAGTGGCAGAATGGGGAAGTCAGAGAAGAAGTAGGGGTGACAGGCCAAATGAGGCCCTTACTCTGCGTGAGTTGGAAGCCACTGGAGGGTTTTGTGTAGAAAAGTGTCATCTTCTGACACACTGTGATAGGACCACTTTGACTGCTGGGTTGACAATAGACAATAGGGGGTAAGGGCTGAAGCAGAGACCAATGAGAAGACTATTGAAATAATTCAGGAGCAGGCTTCCCTGGTGGCGCAGTGGTTGAGAGTCTGCCTGCCAATGCAGGGGACACGGGTTCGAGCCCTGGTCTGGGAGGATCCCACATGCCGCGGAGCAACTAGGCCCGTGGGCCACAACTACTGAGCCTGCACGTCTAGAGCCTGTGCTCCGCAACAAGAGAGGCCGCGATAGTGAGAGGCCTGCGCACCGCAATGAACAGTGGCCCCCGCTTGCCACAACTAGAGAAAGCCCTGGCACAGAAACGAAGACCCAACACACCCAAAAATAAATAAATTTATAAAAAATAAAAAAGAAATAATCCAGGAGCAAGAGGAGAGTGATTGGACCAGGGAGACCAGGGAGATAGGGGTGGCGGTGATGAGCTGTCAGGGATTCCTCACAGACTGGATGTGAAGGAAAGAAAGCAAGGAGGACTCTGAGGGTTTTGGCCTGAGTAGCTTGGAAGGTTGGACCTGCCATAACAAAGATGGAGAAGGCTTCAAAAGGAGAAGGTTGGGGTAAAATCAAGAAGGCCAAAGGGAAGACCAGAAAGAAAGCACACGTGATTTGAATGATCTTCGATTTCCTCAGCTTATAAAATGAATGAAAGAATACCTACTTCATTAGGATTGTTTTAAGGATGACATGAATTAATGTAGTGAAGCGTCCAGCACAGTACCTGACACCTGGCAGCCACTTAAGAATGTTCCCTCTCTGCAAATATGAATTCATATACATCCATTATACCCCAGAAGTAAAGGAAAGGGAAAGAAAACAGGAGAGAAAGGACAGGAAATGAAAACAGAAGAAATAAAGTCCAACAAAGGTGCCTAATGCAAATTGTCTGACGATAGTTTCTCCTAAATTCTGCTTCCTCAAGGGGACACACTAAAGTATCAGAGTTTGCTAGTTTGGGAAAGGAGTTTGAAATATGAAAAGTTGGTAATAAAGCAGAAAAAAATACCCACAACATAAACAAAGAATTTCAGTTGCTACTCCTTATAAAGCATTCTTACAAACAAATAAGAAAGACAGAAGAACAGAAAAATAGTCAAGGGAGATGAACAGAGAATTCTAAAAAAAAGCCAATATTCTATAAAAAGTCCAACCATATTAAGTAAAGCTAGAATGAGAGGCAATTCTTTTTTATTTATAAATTTGACAAAGATTAGAAAAAATAATTATGCCTATTGTGGATATTGGACAGTATCATACCATGCTGAATGGAGTATAAATTACAATAATTTTTAGCAATTGATGTCTAAATCATTAAAATGTATATACTTTTTGAACCAGAAATTTAACTTCTAAGAATTTATGCTAATATTCAAATATTTGCTAAAAATTTACATATAAGAATGTCCATTACAAAGTTATTTAAATGTAGTGAAAAAATTAGAAATATCCCAAGTATCTAACAAGACAAAATTGTGGTAAGCGTAAGCACAATATGTTATGGTTTAGCCATGTTAGAATATTATAGGCAGATTTTTAAAAACATTGTTGAATACCTATTAAATGGAATATGTTCACAATACATTAATGTATAAAATAAGCTTGCCACAAAACAGTATGTAAAATATGGTTCTCCTTTAAAATGTTAATAACTGTTATCTCCATACTAGGATGACAGTTTATTTTTATTCTCTTTGTGCTTTTCTCTATTTCTAAGTGTTCTGGCATAAGCAGGTATTCTGTTCTCTTAGGAGTGGAATTGCTGGATGACAGGCTGTATATATCAGTCAGATTTAGTTAATACTGTCAAACAGTTTTCCAAACTAGCTATACCAATTTACACTCCCACTGGCAATGTATGAGTTCTGGTTTGAAGATGCATTTTGTTTCTGAAGATGTATTTTTAACAGCATGCGTCCAGGAAACAGCCATTGATTTGAATCCTACTGCTTTAGAAGTTACAATAATTAATTAAGAAGTTAGAAACAAGTACATCAGTTGTGAATGCCTATGTTAGTAACAATATCAACCATTTCTAACTTGTACTTTTCATTAATTTATCTCATTTTATTTTTACCCTCTTTAAGTGTGTTATATACCCTACGTTAAAGAACTAAAATTAGATTTCTTTAGTGCAGAAGCCAGACAAGATTTCCTTCTTTTTCTTACCTCCTTTAATCCCACTTAAAAATGTAATTATGTCTTAAATTGTACTATACATTTCTCAAACTATTAAATATTTAAGATACCAAAAATCCATGCTTATATGAAAAAGGAGAGCAATATCTTACTAACACACGCATACTTGCACACACTCTTCTTTCACAGAGCTCATAAGACCATAGTCCATATCTCTTTGAGGAAACAGACAAAGGGTATCACCCTCTGTTTAACAAAAAACAGAAGTTAAGGTGTAGCATAGGGAAGAGAGCAGTCTGAGATGAGGATATCAAAACGATCCCTTCATTGACCCAGATACCTTGGAATCTAAACTAAAAATAGCATGAAGACATTATCATTTGTAATCAAATTAAATTTAAATTAGCTTCTAAAGTTTCTTTTCTTAGAAAGAGCTCAGAAATGAACAATGTATATCCTATTAGAATATTAATTATCCCGTCAAATTCTCTTTTCTAGCAAATACCTTAACAAAAACCCATTGCTTTTGAATGGTCTTGTCTCCTGTAGAAATTGTCAAGTGGTCAGGGTCTACTGCACTGATGATGTGAGGCTTATTTATTATTAAAACTCTTCTCAAATCCATCTGTCTTCTCTTTTAAAGTGAATCACCATAGCATGTTAAGGGCCCAGGCTCTGG